GATAATCGAGAGAGGTCTGAGACTAACTCAAAATCTTGTGAGCACATTCTCTTAGGGTCAGCCAGGCATTAGCAACTGATGCTATTTATGAATAGCTGCTTTCAATGTGAGGTGCTTCTGAACCTTCAGCATCTTTGTAGTCTCATTTTTCACTTGATTTGAGTCGATCAAGATAAGTTCATGCAACCTCAGATTTTAATAGTGCATCTAGGCCTAACTCGCAAGGTTCATCTGTTGACCTTATCATGAAGATCATTGATAAACTTATTCTAGAAGTTAATTCACTGAAAGAACGAATTGACCTGTCTCTAGCGGCGAATTTTTTCTCATTCAATGATAGATTTTTCAAACAACCCAAACCGTACTCATGTCGCAATCTATTTTCAGCCATCGTGCAGAAATTCTTATGAACCAGTGTAAAAATCATTTATTCTAGACATGAACCTCGGTCTCTTCTTAGACACTTAAAAAAATAAAAGTGCCTCATCGCTACCTGTCCTTAAAGTAAAAAACAAAAATTTTCGACTATTTTATTAGCTTTTCCGGTGGAGCTGCTTTAACCACTGACATGGGAAATATTCAGTAAAGTACTCAATAAAAAAAGCAGTCTTGCATTTTTATGGTTTGATTATTGACACTAATAACATCTAGAAAAACTATTTGATGTTCGCAGAGGTCATCACCTTGACCCGTTTCCGTAGGAAGGACGTCTCTGATTTGTGTTGTCCGCGGAATTCGAAGCTTTGCCTCACTTTTGCACAGATTGGTTACTTGTCATAGAAAGAAATATTCCCTTCCAAAAGCAGCTCTGTTTCTGTCTCGTTTCCCATGCTACATATTTGACCCCTGATCAAAGTCTGCTGTGTTTCAACCCCAACACAAGAAGCTCATGTTGCTGAAGAAGTAAAAGATCTTTGCTGCATCAGTTTGACTAACAGGGCCAACTTTTTTTTCTTAATCTCCACATCTGTTGAGGTCATCTGTTCTTGAAAGAGAAGAAAGTCATTCCGTAAGTTCCCTGCCATTTAACCATCATTATACGTAGAGGTTAACGATGTTGCACATAGGTCAATAGTCATTTTTTCTGCTTCCTTAGAACAACTGTATGTGCTGTACAGCTAGATTGCTCTGATCCAGGCATGGTGCAGGGGGAATACTAGAGAAAGGGCTACTTGTTTCCCAGTCTGGATATTTTACAGGTTTCTGAACGCCCTCGAGGCTAGGGTGATCTTCTTATTTTGTTGTGTCTGGGTGGAGTCTTTGTTGAAGCTGATTAAACCGAGATGAATAAGTCGACTTTTTCTATGACTTCTACTTTCTGTTTCATAAATGGATCATCCGGATCTGGTGCGTTTGTCACAACTTTGAACATCCAGGTGTTGAGGAAGGGACGGGCTTTCGTAGAGGTGTTGCACAGAGATGCCGCCAGGTGACAAAGTCCGCTTCCCGTACTTATAACATCATCAGCTCCATACTCCAGATCATAAAAACATCTGGCCGAAAATCTTGGTCTGCGTCTTCTCTATAGAATGAAACCGTCGTCTTTGCCATACTGAGTACTGTGTACTGTTACTGTTTCAGAGAAAAGAGTAGAGAACAATA